CCTTCTTCCTACCATCAGTCGTGGGTTGGTGCCCGTGCCCTATCTTTGCCTCTAGGTCTAGGGCCTTAATGTTGAACGAGGGGAAGTTGTGTACATTGATGTTTGCCTCACCCGCCAACTAATTCCTAAGTGGCATGGGAAGCCACCTCAGGTAAGTGGTGAGTAATATTTCGGGATCGTAAAAAAAAAAAAAAAAAAGCCTTGGGCACTGGGCCCCTTTTTTTTTTCAAAAAAAAAGGAAAAAAAAAAACGTACTCCAAGTACACAGATCAGACGCTCCACTACGTCTGTGGCATCCCTTACTGACTTAAACGATCTAGAGCTCAAAGTCAGGATCACGTCAGTGGCCTTTTGAGCCTGTTGCGGATCATGCCATCTTTCTTCCACCAGCTTGAGGAAATCATCCAATCTTTGGTTGATTGTCCAAGCGCGGAAGTCATGTCTGTATCCCTGTCGTTGTACTAACCCGCTTAGCCACCTTGTTGCACTCCCCTTTAAGTAGGAGGCAGCCACAAACACTTCCGCGTGTGTCAAGGTCAACTTGCACTTTTCGTAGATTGGTACTGACCTCAACCATGTGTCAAGGTCTTCGCCCCTCTTATCCCCTGAGAAGGGCTTAGGTGAGGCGATGGCAGTCTTCGGAAACCACTGTCCTTGTCCCTGTACCTGCGCCACTCCAGGCTGTGGACCCTCGGGTGCATGCTGCTGCACTAGCTGTTGTTGGGGTTGTGTGCCCTGCGGCTGTGCCGGCTGCGAGACAGCAGGTTGCCCAATTACGGCAGTCTGTAACGGAGGTTGGGAATACACTGTCTGTACAGGAATCTGTACACTAGGTCCTGCTGAAAACCCGCCTGTCAAGGGCATACTTACTAGGGAAGCGGCCTGTACCGATGCTGGAGAGACTATATATGGGGATACTCCAGTTACCGGTGGGACAAAAGGAGGAGGCTGTACCACAGGCCAGGTACCGGGCCTTGATGGTGATGGAGCTACCTGAACTCGCCCAAACAGCACGAGGAGGAGGCTGTACCACA